TGTTAGCCAAGCGGCTGCTGCTAACAAACAAGCGACCAAGTCAGAACACAAGTGTTAAGACCAGATAATTAGCTTCTATGAAATAGAAAGTACTTACCTTACTCTCTGCATCTAAACGAAAAACGGGTTTAAAATATGACACTCTGGGCTTTCCATACTAAATTGAATGAGGGACGCAGCCAAAGCTGGGAATCAAATGCTAATGATAGCTCGGGCACAACGCCACAAGCAAAACTTTCAAAAGGGCAACTTTATGGGAGAGGAAACGGGAACACTGTCGTCACCATAAAGTCTAAGCCAAACAAAAAATAAGACGGCAATCAGGACAACTTGGCTGGGAGAGGGTGCAGGGACACAGCCATCACCAGCAACAAGCTGACACAAACCTGTCTGTCGAGGCTCTGCACAGCGCACAGCCAGCCACAGCTCCTGGAGGACGCGTTAACGACCCGTAGCTCCGACTGTCAGTCGTGAAGCTGCACGCTGCCAGCTGCTTGCAGAGAAATCCCTCAGATCAAACGTTCAAACCTGAACGCTGTTGCTACAAAAATGTAGCCACGGTACTCTCGTGCAGCGAGAAGATGAAAGGAACAGATCCTCTGACGACACCGGCTGATATAGCCGGTGTCACGTGGGTCACAGGTGACTTTGTTGTTAGTGGTACTCGAGCTGCGCATGCGCGCGATGGACATATCCAGTGCTAAAAGCACCGCCTCTGGCGGTCAGTAGGGACGAAATAGAACTACAGTTACACCCAAACAGTGTTTTAGTCAATCTGGCCTATTGCTGCGTTATGACAATTGGCCCCTTTCCTTGTTCACCTGCCATCCCCCCCGCTGGGTCCCGCCACACCACTCAGATTCAGAGTATCACGGACGAATCGCGTAACTCGATCCGGAGAAAGAACCAGAGCACCTCTGAGGGCACAAACCTCAGCCGGCAATCCTCAACAGTGGAGGACAATCAGGAGGACGAGGTAGCAGATGTTGTCAACCCCAAATCCCTCACTGTTAGAGACAGACCTGTCTTCACAAAGCTGGACCTTTGGCTGCAGTTTTCACGTGTCTTTTGACTTTTTTTTAAATACTTTAGTCATCATCATGGTTCCAAATCTGGACTTATATATTTTCTAATACCTAACCAGTAACCTGCTGGCAGTCTGAAACCAGTTGCTCTACATTGAAAACACCAATGTAAAGTGCTATTAGCCATTTTAGTAATGAGCCCAAAAAGAGAAGCTGTTTCATGATGACAGACTATCTTGTACTTTTAAAAATTGACCAACAAGTCCCAACTGTAGTGATACTAACTTACTGTAAAGTCACTGAGAGCTGCTTTGTGAACACTAGCCCATTGCACCTTGAAACTGCTGCCCGACATCCCATTAACTCAACAATCCTACCTTATCCATCTTCCCCGAAAGCATGTCAACGAAAGAGTGGACAGTATTGTCTCAGAAACCTAAAAACTGTTAGCTTTGGTGCATACTCAGATCTACTGATGCTCTGTTGTCTTTTGAGCTGGATGCTAACATTAGCATGCTAACAGAACATCCGTGAACACAGTTGAATTGTTACTGTTGTTTAAAGGCTACGATCCAATATATGCATTAGTTTTATTTTTCCCAGGAGTTATTTATCTTTATTCTGGCCTGACAATACTCTGCTCTCTATTTTATTGATCATGTTTTTAGTTCATCCCTGGTCATCTCCCACCATCCTGCCACTTATACCTGAAACTTGTATCCATACTGTTCAGCTGCTAGTTAAAGCTAAGCACTGTCCCTCGTAAAAAGGATGTATATGTTATTCACCGCATAACCTCATCTTTACATGTATTTTAAGACATTAAAGATGTTTAATGTGGCTAAATGTGTTACATAATCAGCCTGCTGTTTTACTTTCACTGCCTTTTTATTAGAATACATTCAAATATAAACAGGACCCTCGGAGCACAGAGGCCATAATCCGTATCTTTATGATGAGGGATAATAAACCCATCATTTAGTGTTATCCTTTGTCTTCGGCTGTGGTTATATAACTGTTGACATTGTACACTGTAGCACAGATAAAGGGACACAAGAGTTCTTGTCCAATGTAATGAAAGCAGATTATTCTTTATTTAATAATGATATACTTTTACTGCTCTACTTCTGCTTTGCTTTACTACCCCCACACTGTCCCTGCATTATAGACTGCTTAATAGGTGTTTTAGTTACATATTAAGCATGTGGTAAGTATCTTTAGAAGCCCTGTATTTAATGTGAGCACTTTTTCATGTCAATCACCCATGAATGCTTTATTTCAACCCTCACCTGGACCTTTAGTCTGCCCAGAGAAACATTGTCTTGTGATGTATATTTGTTTTTTTATTATGATTAATGTGTATGAATGGTTTAACAGCTGAGCAGGTTTGCATTATTCCCATTATTCTTAAGCATGATTTTATGAAATATGTTGTTGGTTTTACTTCCCTTTTGATCCTTACTCTGTCTATGATTCTGTATTCTTAGTTCATTCCATCAATTATTTAATATTTATTCTGATTATTCTGAACTACCAAGGTTCATGTCCTGGTTATGGCTTTGCTATCACCTTTTATTGTTTATACCTCTTCTTCTGTTCTGTTTATTGCATTTCATCTCTCCCCTTGCTTGATCTCCTCATCTTCCTCCCTCCTCCCTCCTCTCCAGGCCCAGCTAATCCACGACAGAAACACAGCGTCTCACGCCACGATAAACGACAAGGCGGAAGGCGGGCTCGACCGGGTTCACATGACCTGGACCAAGGAGAAGCTGTTCACGGAGCGCAACCGCAACCGCGAGTGCAACTCCAACGTGGTCGTACGAGACCTGTTCAACATGAAACCGTAAGTACACGCTTGTTTCAACACCACCGAAAGAAGAACTCTGTACATTTGTAGCTTAGGATCTAAAAAAGGAGGGAATGTTTTGTTTTGATATCGACTGTATATTCTTTAGAAAAATACTGTAACGGTTGTGGTAAAAAACAGAATATGACCGCATGTAGCAGTACAGGGTGAAGTGGGACGACTTCCTGCATGGCGTGTGTATTCAGGCTGCATTTGGTGTGTGTGCGCATGCGTGTACACTTCCAGCCATTTCAGTCTTAGTGCATGGCCGCACCACGCAGATCTCATGCACTCCTTTTTATCTGTTTAGACTAACACCATCCCATACTGTCCATGTTATCAGTGTGTGGACTTCATCAGGTGTGTCGCACTCCACCTTTATTGCCTAATAAAGTTTGTAATTCAAATTGTGAACACATCGTAAAGTCTCACAGGACGGGAAGAAACGGAGGCTTTACTTCTCCACAAAGCCTCAATGGTTCCAAGTCCCTTCCTGGGGTGTTCTTGGGGGTGTCACTACGTGTGGGATAATGGGAAGCATGCAGTGTGGTGACGAGAGCTGGAGAGCTTGTGTAAGAAGCATCTAAGCTTATTTCTGTTGTTCTGTCCCATTTTCCTCCTTCTAGAGAGTGGGAGAGTCTGTAAGTGGCATTCTTTTTGCTCTAGGCCGTATGTGTGTCCTGCTGCTGTGGTGAATGTAGCTTTGCTCAGCGTCCTCCACCTCATGTGCTCGTTCCTCTGTGTGTGTGTGTGTCCTTGTTTGTGTGTCCCTATATGAATGAACTCGCTGGAAATACGCCATAGCTTTCATTTGCATGTACTGTTGAAGACATAGCATGTGCAACTTTTTGCTTTTCATTTACTTTTGTTGATATGCAAATACAAACATTTTTAAATTTGGTCTAGACGTGAACATTTAAAAGTGTGTCTTATTCAGCAGAATGGAAAGCAGAATCTTGTGAAATTGTCTTTTTTTTTTATCCTTTATTTAATTTGGCTCCTGGCAGTTGATATCACGTGCTTTTGATGTAACATTGTGAAAGTGATGATAAAGAGGCAACATATCAAAGAGACAGAGTTTTAGTAGTAACTATTAATATAAATGATTCAATTGGTTTTAAAGACTACAGCATGTAAGATTATTAGCAATGGAAAACTAAACGTTAACAAACACTGTGGACCTCGTGGTGTGATACTGCATGTCTCTTTTGTCTTCAAATGTTGCCTCTTTATTTGGAATTCAATACGCTTCAGTCCCTTAACTATGCCTTTAAGTTCTGTCTGAGGCGATCAGACAGAATGCTCAAAATAAGTGTATTAGTTATTAGTTATGTTTTAAATCAAAGTTTATAAAGTTGATAAGACTTCAGTGATCAGCTCGTATTTAACTAGGAGTGCTGCTGTATCACCACAATAAGCCTTTGTCTGGGATTCTTTTTAAATGTCCCAGTAGGCTCAGATGTTAATAATAAAATGAATCATGGCTGAATTATATTTAACTGCGTCAGGTTCTGGTATTGTCCATCCTTGCTCACTGTCATGGATTACTGGAACACATGACACCGAGCCATGGCTAATGCTATTAGCTACTGTGACGAGTCAAGAGCCGTGTCCCAATCTGTACTACACACTACTTTAAAACTATGTGTACTACATACCAGTCATCATCTAAAATGCTTGATTTATATAGTCTTTTCAGCAGTAGGTAAACAAAACATGTTTTTAATTGACAGGTTATTATACGATATGTGTGAGGTTGTCAATCAATCTAAGATTTGAAATATCGTTTTCAAGTAGCTTACACAGTAACACTTTTCTTATGTGAATACACGATACACTGATCACATTCCTATAATAAGTATGCAAAACAGCAAAAAGCTAGAAGAATCTTTGATTACATGAAAAAAAATCGATACAGCCACAAATATATAAAGAGATAAGAATGTCTTGCTCAGTCTCATAAGAACTAAACGAGTCCCATCACTAATGTAGTTACGTGTTTGGTTTATGCATGAATGTTTTCGTCAGTGCTGTTCTTTCTCACTGTAACCTGCGTATCACAACAGGAACCAGTCAAATGTCCGCCGGATGCACACGGCTGTGAAGCTGAACGAGATGGTGGTCAACAAGTCGCAGGGAGCCCATCTGGTTCTGCTCAACATGCCCGGACCACCCAGTAACAGAGGAGGAGACGAAAACTGTATCCTTCAAGCTGCTATACTATGCATTTATAAATAACACAATCTAAGTGTGTGAAAGAGGGGGCTCATAGTGATGAACATACAAAGAGTAATTCATTATACCCTCAGCTTAAAGGTGGGGTAGGTAATTTTGGAGAAACCAGCTAGAGTGCGCTAGAATTTGAAAATACACAGCCAGAAAAAATCTGCCACTTCCTTACAGAGCCCCTCGTCCAACACACACATGACCAATGAGGGCACGAGATAAGTTTGTGCACAGATGGAAGGCTGACAGGCAGTTAGGCCATCCAGTTATTTTAGCCGGGCTAAAATGATTGGTTGTGCTTTTTACAGCACTACGGCTTCCACAGATGAAATGTTTTTATGTATTTTTTGTCAAAGCACTTCAGATATTCATTGCTATCGGGATGTTAAGAGCATTCCATGGAATATAACAAAAAGTGTATCTCGAGCCGCTTTCTCAAACTTACCTACCCCACCTTTAACAGAACTCTAGAGTGAGTTTAATTGTATTTGTAGCTGTCCGGCACAACTCTCACAGCTCTCATAGTATTGTGTTTGGCAGCAACAAGGTTTCCTTTTTTCCTTTTAACATTCTTAGAACCCTCTGATCACTACCTGCTCAGCACCAACCAGCAGACAGAAACCGTTAGAGCCACTTAGAAGTTAGAAAGACCAACAAAACTAAGAGAGTGATCATTGGTTTGTTGTATTAGAAGACACATATTGTGCTCATTTTCAGGTTCATCTTTGTATTTAGTTCCTCTTTGTGGCATGTCTCCATGCTTTAATGTTCAAAATACTCTTTATTTCTCTCATACTGCCTGCGCTGCAGCACCTCTTTTCACCCTCTGTCTGAAACCAGAGCCCAGACTGCTCTGATTGGTTAGCTGGACGGCACTGTTGTTATTGGTCTACCCACTTAGAGATGTCCTGCCCCTTAGCCTATCACGTACAATGTGTGTCAATACGTTACAGAAAACTCCCTCTGGAGGGAACTTTGGGATTTCCGCCTTTGCAGACCATTTACATGCATTAAAACACACTATAGGAAAGGAGAAACCCAAAGCAGCATAATAGGGCCCCTTTAATTTAAAAGCTGATGTGTTATTAAGTAAAGATAGCAAATTACAATTAGCACCAATGGTGTGTAATCGTATAAACGTCCTGTCTTTGAAGAGTGTAATCAACAGTATTTATATATATATTAGTTAGCTTACATTATATTTTGTCATGGCTCACAAACATGTTAATCATTAGGAATAATAGTTAGGTAGGGCGTAAATCGATGTTATCTTCACATTATCATGCTATGGTGCAAGATCGAGAAATCCAATAAATCGGTTATATTTAAAGTCTGAAAAATGCCATCATAGGGTTAGAATGTTCTGAAGATATCTGGCATGTGAAAAATGGGTCCAATATTTTATTTGGTGACATGGCATCTCTTTCTAAAACATTGCTGTTACTATCGTTAAAAAAATGTTGTAATTGATATTGTAGTAAATGTGCGACAATAGCCTAAAGCCATGTTTACGTCTCTGTGCTTTATTCCTTGACCGCTCTTCTCTCAGACATGGAGTTCCTGGAGGTTCTCCTCGAGGGTCTGAACCGGGTCCTCCTGGTGCGAGGCGGGGGCCGCGAAGTCATCACCATCTACTCTTAGGAAAACACAAAAAAACTCTTACGCCCCATCCTGCACACACGGACTTTTGCCATGGATACCAGTCACCGGGCAATTTTCGGGGAAGAAGCCTAATTTGTTTTTTATGAATGGCGGGGTTGTTGGAAGGCGGGACCACTTGTAATTGACTGATGGTTTGAAGGACGTCAGGAAGAAGCGTTTAATCAGTGGACTGGTGGAGAGAAGGAAGCACAGTGTGCGTCCACGCTGTACCCCTGCATGTGGAAGATAGAGCATAGAGACACTTTATATTGTTCATTTTACTCTGAAAAATTATGTTCTGTTACATCTTCATATTCTTTCCCTCTTTTGTTGATGTTTTCAAGTTACTGGCACTCGCTGTGTAAAGATAAGCAAAGAAGTGAACGTGCGCCGTTGATATGATCCTCGTAGTCTGTTATTTTGTATGGTGCACTGTGGGAGGTGCAGAGACATTTGCTGAGAACTGAGAAAAACATGCATATCGAAGACAGACTTTGAACAATGCTTACTAAATAATTACATTTAAAATAACTTTCTAAGATACTAGTTTCAGTATAAACTACAAAAGAGCAAGCAGTCAGTTTAAAAGCTGTATAAAACATCCTAGGTCGTCATCTGTCGGTGTTCTGTGGTTGTTCGCCTTTTCAATGATTCACTGAAGGATGTTGGCTCACTTCCTGTTTTCAGATCACAGGTACTTGATCATTGTCAACATCTCCCACCTTCATATATCGGGAAAAATAGCCATAGGTAATTTAAAGGACCCTTTGTAAGCTTTATAAGATGACATACTTAATGCATACATATTTATGGTGGCTAACGTAGTGCTCAGTTGGGAGTAACTATATATCTTTTTTAATCCGAGGGCTGTTTGACAGCGTGCAGTAGTTTAATACAATAGTAGATTGGCAATGTTGACTTTGCACTACCTATCTTTCAGCACTTAATTCATTGTGAACTGTCCTCTGGTTCCATCGCCTATAGTGACACTTTCCACTGGCTGACACACGGCTACATTGTGCAGAGAGATACTGAGCAGAATATAATTCCACACTATTTAATACTCAGCGTTGTTTTTATAATGTTTTACCTGACAGAACTCTTTAGGCTCTGAGCCCCAGACTGAGTAGATTTATTGTAATGAGCATGTGTAGGAGAAAAAGTGCCAAAATGAAACAAAAGAAACTGTGGAAGTATTATTGATTCATCTTTAAGCCACAAAATAGTAATCGCTTTTTATTACATTGACAATCTTTAAAAAAATTAAAAGCACAATTACTTTTTTTATGATAGAGTTCATCCCTGTTAGAAGGCTTTTAACATTTCTAAAAATGCAACAAGTAGTGGAATTTCCAGGACCATTCAAAGATGGTTCAAATGCTGCACAAAATAATTGTAAAAAGGGAAGAAGGAAAACGAATTCAACCCTTCCTCGTGTGTACCTCCACAGTTTCTCTTTATATTAGCTGCAGTATGTTGCGAAGCAGAAAGTCGAGTTCTCCTGAAGTTCTTTGTAGGAAAATGAGAACTTCAGATTGCCAGTTAAGCAACATCCGTGTTTTGTTGTGTTTTTGTTCAGTTGCTTACGTATGTTACTATATAGTTATGGTCTCTGTAGTGTTTGTTGAATTATATTTGATCTTCTGTTACTTTAAGTGTTCATTTTTCCGTGTGATTTTTATGGAAGGAGGCAGAGAGTGTGTGTGAAGACGGCAGCAGATGTGTTTTGTTCCAGCCAATCAGAAAACACGTCATGCACAAACACACTAACCCCCCCCCCCCCCCCCTCGGGATACAGTGGCACCCTGGACTGAAAGTAAAAAAGAAATCAGAGTGAAGCGACCAGGGTACAAAGGAAGGGTTCAAATAACTCTGTCAATATATGCAGTTCAAACAATTTCAGTTTCCTTGTTCAGTTTTATATTTTAAGCACCAAAGATAAAACATAGTTCTGTATAAATAAACTTGAAATTGTCTAGTTTTAAGACGTGAGAAACCTTGAAAGTTGTAAAGATAAATTATTAAAGTTGTGAAATTGTTTTCAAATCGGTTACTGGGCTTAATAGCAGTAGCTACGCATACAGAAAACACGAAACCCTCAAAAAAGAGTTACTGGAGGTATATAGAATTGTCCGCAGTGTGTTTTTCACAGCTCTAATGTTTGAGGTGACTGGAGAAAGAAATCTACCTCAAGGTGTCACTGAGGCTTGACCGGAGAAAAAGAAGCGTGTTCAATCACATCTCTCTTTCAGAACTGATGTTACAAATGGTTTCATGAAAGGGAAAAGGCATCGGTGATGTGCGAGGACGTGCAGAATAGTGTGCGTTTGTGTGTGTGTTCCTGAGGTGAAGCTGTTTCTGTTTCTGCTGTTGTCAGGCTCATAGCAGGCCTCAGTCTGGATCAGGAAGTCGATGTGGGCGCACACATAGAGAAGGGTAGCCCTGTCAATTGTATTTGTGCCTCTGAGTAATTATTAAAAGTGCTGAAATAAACCAAAACGTTTCTGCATCCTGATTCTCTTCACAATGTCAAGCTTTCGAGGTCAAAAAAGTGGCAGGGGAGCAACAATTTAGCAGGATTTATTATAATAACCATTTTCCATTGATATTTGTACCAATGGTTGATAGGATATTTTTTTATTATATTACGTTTATACCTTTTTTCAAACTTTAAAGTTTTTAATTCCTGAACACACTGCTGCTACTGTAACTAAACAATTTTCTCAATTTAGGATCAATAAAGTATCTATCTATCTATCATCTATCTATCCATCTATCCATCCATCCATCCATCCATCCATCCATCCATCTACATTGCAAACCAAATAGAACAAAACTACTCGAACAGCATTTTTCAACCTTGGTGACAATTAAAGACAAGCCAAGACATCTTGTATTTATTTCTAATTCATCAACAATTTCAATCATAAATGGCAACAGTTTTTTCCCACTACAATTTTGTAAATGTTTTTATTTTTTCAGCCTACTGTGAATCAGCTAACTTTCTTTGCAGGATGTCAAATTCTGTTGCCTTAATAATAACAACAATTGGAGGGGTAATTACACTACAAAGGAACTTCTCAGATTTGCAACATATGATGGATGGGAACAACTAGATGAACTTTATATTAAGTGGTCAAGAGCAAAGGTAGTTTGGAAAGACTGCAGTATCTCTGACAGACCACCAGAGGGCGGCATTACCTTCCCTTGAAACTGCAGCTCCATGGCAGCCACTTACATGGAGTCAAATCAATCATGGGCACATTTTTGTATCAAATGTCTTCCAGAGAGGTGCTTTCAAATGCTTGTCAACACAGTGATATGGTTACTGACCTGTACTGATCCATCTAAATCATCTCAGGTTGTCAGGTTATCATCAGCTGCCCCCTGCCCCATCTATCTGCACCCCCCCCTTCTGTCTGACTGGATGACATCTAGTCCACGCAGGCCTGCCTGACCCCCGACTGGTCACATGATCTGTGTCTCACAAACAAACAAACCATGCTAACATCTGATTTAATTAGAGCGTGACAGAGATAAAAGAGGGGGAGTAAATTAGATTGTGTTGGAAAATGATGCTTTTCATGTTGACAGATTTCATTATTATGATCAACATTTTTTAAACTGTGTTTGCAAGAAGTAGTTGTTCTCTAGCCTAAAAATATGTTTCTATTACCTAAGGAGGAAGTTGTGTATCTTATTGCAACAACACCCTGAACCTGAATCCTGTTACCATATCATCCAGTTTTCAAAAACGGCTTCATTTTCTGGTGCACATCTGACAAAAGGTCTGACAAAGACTCCCTTGAGCTTTGTCCTTGGCTGACCTTTGACCTCTTGGACACTGTGTTTGCCTTTCATTACTTTCTCTGCAGTACCGTCTCTGTCTTCTGTTTGCTTTGTTGGTCAGATCAATAGACTGGATGCTGACAGCCGACCCAACGTGTGTCAAAACTGGAAAAGTGACACAGGGAGACTGAACACACAAACACGTGTTGTTATTGATTCCAGCAGCATCAGCACTATAGTCCCGAAACAGTTAAGAGATATGTGTTCTTCAGTGTAATAGTACACTCTAAACCCAGATTTTATTGAAATTAAAATATTAAGCTGTAATTAATAATGCCGTTTAGTCTCGTTTTTAGTCTTGTGCCCATATTGATTCAAGCTATGCTGTTCAGATATTTTCATCCAATGAAAATTCTTGGATTTATCCCATCAGCTGACAGGTATAAGACTGTCATTTGGATGTTTGTGTAAAGGACTGTGCCTTCAGTGCATATTCTGTTAAGACAACCAAACTACATGGTTAGGTTTAGTAACACATCGTGACTTGGGTTAAATAAATATATTAACACATTACATTTACATGATTACAACAGCAGATATAGCAGATACAGTTAGGGGAATACATGGCTAAGTATGTACACGTTATGAATAACATAATAAATAAAAAACAAAATAGCAGTTGTACACCATGGTAATACATGTGTAATTTCAGGAGGTTATATCAAATCAAATCAAGATTTATTTATATAGTACATTTTTAAAACGATTTTTGGTCGAGCCAAAGTGCTGTACATATAATAATTACCTTACAGTAAGGACACTATACAATAAATACAACAGCACAGTTTGTGCAGAATATCAGTATGAGAAAACAACACCCTCTGACCTTAGACCCTCACATCGTACAAGGGAAAACTTCCGGATATTGCACTTGCATGTATATTGCACAAAGATTTATATCTACAGACATTGTTATTGCACATCAGGGGAATTCCAGTCTATGTGTGGGGGGGTCTACCAGGGGCCATGGTGGTTGAAAAGCCTGACCACTGCAGGAAGGAAGGACCTGCGGTATCTCTCTGTGAGACACCGTGGGTGCAGCAACCTGTCACTGAAGGAGCAGACAGGGTGTCCTGGAGGGGGGGGACTGTCCAATAGTGATGACAGCTTGGTCATCACTCTCCTGTTCCCCACCACCTCCACAGTGTCCAGGGTTTGGGGCAAATGTCAATAACAATGACTAAAAGAAGACAACATAAGTACATTATAATTATAAGAACAATACATTGTATACAAGAAAATGTTGTTGCCCTTTGCTGTTAATCGGAAGATGGCACCTTAAGAAAATAAATGCTATTAAATAAATATTAACAATTATGGCAAGACATAACTGATAAGATAATGATAGGCTAATGTAAATCACAGCAAGTGCACTATCACCTCGTGAGGCTGGCACGTCACAGATATTGGAATATCATCCTGACCCTATCATGGCTATCCAGTAGCTGAAGGGTTAAGGAGAGGGGGAGGG